ATTTTTTAATTTGATTATTTCATATATTATAATTTCAACTATATTTGTGTATTGATTAAACATGTCGAATAATTGTTAATATTACCTTTTAAAACTACGTCCAAAATTGGCATCTTTTTAATACTCTCGTACAGCCATTCACCATTGTTCATATCGTGATGCTCCGTAATCTCTTCTCTCAGTTTATCTTGAATATCCTGATTCTGTGCCAGTTCATATAAAGCATTTGCTATAGTCGACGCCGAGGTTTCAAAACCGGCCACAAAGAAGACAAAGGCTTGGGCTATTAATAAATCATTAGTCAAGTCTGAAACAATGGATAAACGATATAAAAACCTTGAGAGATTAATGCATTTTTCAAAATCAATCGTCAACTTTGTTGAAATATATACAGTCAATCCCAAAGGTTTATGCACTTTAGAAACACATTTTTTAAAAAGAAATCAGACGTCGGAAGAACATTGCTATTCCATATGAATACATATATTATGAAAAATATTATAACATTGAACAATGTTTGAATAAATTCTTGAGAGTCATACTTATACTCAGTTTCTCCGGATGATCCTGCAGGTCCATCAGGGTATGAATGAAATCCTGTCTAACGACATTATTCTTTCTTCTATAATCAATCACATCATTGACAACTTTAGTGAAAAACTGGGTCATGTCGTCCCTTGGTAGGATGTATCCAAGGAGCGTGTACAACGTGGGTAAACCCTCCCTAAGCTGGATTTTTATTCTCTGTACCAGGCTCATATTGAAAAAAGTCTTTCCTATCTCGCGAAATTTGTTATTCTCGCCCGACATTGCATTCGTATCGAGGCCAAATGCGCAGCTGCTAATCACGTCAGTCGTGAATCTGTCAAACATTTAAATCAAATATAAATCACATTTGCGATATCGAGGTATTAATTATACATATTATGAATGACATTCGAATGAATGAATGAATGAATGAATGAATGAATGAATGAAGATCAAAGATGTATCGTAGTCGAATTGACTAAGAATAAGCATTCAAGTTTGCATTATCTCATTTGCATATAAATGCATATGATTACCTCGCACATACTTCTCGTACGTCAATGTTGTTGCCGTTGGCAATCAACGAGTCAACGTACTTCTCGAAGGTATTGGAACACTCGATTATCATCGAGAACATTTCCTTGAGCTTCCCTGACGTGAAAGTGGGAGATAATCTGGTCCTTAAAGGTCGCCACCTTTTTGGTTCCAGCAAGAAG